AGTTTTTACCCATCAGTAACCTAAGACCAAACCACTTCCCCCTCCCTTTCTCTTTTCCCTACCCTAAGCTTCAAAAGACCACCTAAGCTAGGGATCTTGTTGATCTCAGCAAATCTTAACCTTGAATTCATTTCAATCAAAGAACATTTATTAAGCACCCACTACATTCAGAGCCCAATGTTTGGTATAGGCTATAGAAAAAGACACACAGTATGCCCTCAAGACAGCCCTTACTGTGTAATAGGGAGGACAGAAGAATAATTAAGTTTGCAACAAGGTAGAATGTCATCAGGACCAAGGAGAGATCCAGACAAAGTGACAGAGAAATTTGAAGGAGAAATTAGTTTGGGGGAAGTGGGGATGGAGAGAGCAATTTGTGAGTGTATGAGGGCCTGTGGGAAAACACACTCAGTGCTTGTTTTCATCTGTGTGTAAGCGGTTTCTTGTTTTTATTTCAACCAAATCTTATATTGGTTAGATCTTTCCTTTATCACTTATTTTACCTTCATTTCCAAATATATTTCCCTCTCCCACCAAGCAAGATGGGAGTTGTAACAAAAATTTAAAGAAGAATCAATCACATCTATCATATCTGATAGTGCATATAGCATTCCACACCAAAAGTCTCCCACTTCTGCAAAGAGGAGAGGAAGGTGCATTTTCTCACTTCTTCTGTGGGGACTGAGCTTGGTCATGATTTGTGTGTGTGTGTGTGTGTGTTGTGTGTGTTCCTAAAGTTTGTTTTTGTCTTTGCCACTGAGGAAAATGCTCAGTCCTTATGAGTCCTTCCTTACCAGTTAACCTCTTCACATTTTGACATGTTTGTGTCATTGTCCTGACACCTGAATGGTCCCTGCTGTACTCAGCCTGGAACATTCTTGGGAGCAAGGATTTGCCTTGCAAACATCAGGCTCAGTGCAGAAGGGATTCCCTGTGGGTGGAGGGAAGGAAAAAGCCCAGCTGCAGTTGTGGTTGTGAAGGACCAAGCTTTTAGTTCTGCCCAGACTAGGTGTGTTTTCTCAGCTGAATCAACAATAACCCCACCCCTACATGGCAGTGCAATCCTGCCCCTCCCCTCAGGTTTACAACTCTTACAAAAGCCTGGGCAATGTGGCAGGAAGATTTCCCAGGCAGTCAGAAAGCAGAGATTTAGCAAAGGATTGGGGAAAGGTAGATCAAAGTTAAATTGCTGACAGTGTTGAATACCAGACTAATGCCACTCATGTTGTAGGCACTGGGGAGCCCCTGACAATTTTTGAGCTGAGAGAATGATTCAGTTATCAAGAAGATGATTGCAACTTGTGGAGGGTGGATTAGCAGCCCCTTCCTCTGGGCAGTTTCAGGTCTCCTCACACACCCCCCCCCACGCAGGGCTCTTGTGGGCAAGGAGGGTAAAATGTTGTCATCTCAAACCCCAAGGAGGGCAGCTTTGTCAAGGTGGGCCCTGGCACTTGGCCTCACAGTATCTGGTTGCCCAAATGAGCCTCTTCCTTAGCCAGGAGAGATTTCAGCCACCTGGAAACTGGAAATGCGAACATGTTTGAGGCCTGACTATGTCTTTGATGACTAAACTGAAAGCTCTTCCTTCCGAGAACATGTCAGTAGGGGAAGGAGCGTGGATAGCTCCTGCAAATTCATTCCTCAGAGCAGAGATAGGAGTTCCAGGTTAGAAGTCATGCTCATAGCTAGGATCAAAGCTCTGCTGCTGCAATCCATTGTGGGACCTGGGGCAAGTCATTTCCCCCTCCCTGGGACTCAGTTTCCCCCCTATCAAATGAGGAGAATAGCCTCTACCCTACTTCCCCCACCCCAGGGCTATTTGTGAGAGTGAAATGGAATAACTGGGTGGGAAAGTGTTCTGTGTTGTTAAGGGATATTGTGATTATGAGGGAAATGGCCTAGAGTTAGGTCTGGCTAGAACTAGGCTCACTGACTCTTAGGGGCCAGATGAAGGCAGCTTCTGGAGGGAGAAGACAAGAGGGAAAGGGTGCAGTGGGCAGACTTCCTGGAGGAGGAGGGTGTGGCATTGGCCATCTCAGGCAGGGCTTCCCAAAGGATGTTGCTGGCTTAGGTGCAATGTGTCCTGATGTGACTCCTATGGACAGCCCCCTTGTCCTTGTCTTCCCTTTCCTTACTCTCGTCTTTCCAATAAGCCCCTGATTCAAGAGGCTCTTTTCAGGGCTACTTCTGAGAAGCCATTGCTGGAGATGATTCTACCACTGGGCAGCTAGGTGGCTGGAGCTCTGGAGCCAGAATCTGGAAGATCTGAGTTCAAATTTGGCCTCAGATATTTAGCTGTGTAACCCTGGACAAGTCACTTGGCCTCTATTTGCCCTAGTTTCCTCATTTGTAAAATGGGGATAATAATAATACCTCCCAAGGTTGTTGTGAGGATCAGATGAAATATCTGTAAAGCACCTGGCACATAGCAAGCACTATGTAAATGTTAGCTATTATTATTATTATTTTCCTATCATATATCAATAATATCCTTTGACCCAGCAATACCACTACTTGGTCTATTTCTGAAGATAATTAGGGGAAAAGGAAAAGAACCTCTATATTCTAAAAATGTTTTTTAGCAGCTCTCTTTGTGCAAAGAAATTGAAATTACAGGGATGCCTATCACTTGGGGAATGGCTAAACAAACTGTGGTGTATAACCGTGATGGAATACTACTGTACTATCAGAAATAAGGAGCTCAATGATTTTAGAAAAACACGGAAAGACTTGCATGAAATAATGAAGAACGAAATGAGCAGAACCAAGAGAACACTGTCTACAGTAACAGCAAATTTTAAGAACAACTTTGACTGAATAAGTTATTTGACTATTATAAATACCCAAATTAATTACAAAGGACATATTAAGAAAGATGCTATCTGCATCCAGAGAAAGAACTGATAAATAGAAGTATTTATAAAATAATTTTACATACATATATACACACATATGTGTGTATGGATGTATATATGTATGTGTGTATATATATATATATATATATATATATATATATATTTGTGTCTAATGATAACCATCTCTAGGGGGAGGGGAGGAAGGAGGAGGGAAGAAAAAAAGAAATTTACATGATAATTTTGTTGTATATTTGAGAAGAATAGCAAGCTGTACATAGTAAATTTAGTTTCATATGCAATCATCTTTTTTATTGTACTATGTTACAGAAATGCTTTATTCTATAAATTAATACAATTTTTAAAATAATATGATGGTGATTGTTATAGCAGAAATTCCACTTTCCCAACCATAGGAAGAGTGGGACCCCAAGTCAAGGACCCATTTTACAGAAGAGACTGAGGCTCAGTTAGGAAGTGACTTACCATCATCCCAGGACCCTTCACTCCAAATCTAGTGCTATTCCCACTCTTCTCTGCTGCCTTTCACCATAGCACCAGTGCAAGGCAATGAGCTATAGTTTTCGGAGTATGGAATTACAGAGCATCTTGAATATGGTGGTAGTGGCCTTCCTGATGACCTAATCTATGACTTTGAATTGGGGAGTAAACCAGATGGGGCCCTACATAAGTATGTACAAAAGAAATATAAATTCTGGAAGGGGGAGGACTAACATCTGGGGCCATTGGGAAAGGCCTTATGTAGGAGGTAGTATTTGATTTCAGCTTCAAAGGAAACTAGGGATGCTAAGAGGCAGAGGAGAGGAGGGCCTTCTGCGTGGGAGAGACAGCTTGTGCACAGGTTCAGTCAGGAGACAGCACATTGTATGTGATGGACTGTGCAGTGTGTGTAAGCAAGGTTGGAGACAAGTCACTGCGCCCTTACCTAGGCTGAGCCTCGGATGACAGATATGCAATTCGTCACCAAGCCCCAGACCCTTTCCAGCTTGGTAGGAAATGAAACCAGGGAAAGACCTTAGATGGGATATTGGTATCAGAAGGACCTCAAAGGGCATTTTCACGATCTGTACCTGAGCATGAATCCCTCTTAACAGGCTTGTGATCTAGTATTGGTACTGGATCTAGTGATCTAGTCCTAGTGATCTAGTCCTAGTGATCTAGTACTGTGATGTGCTGGAGCTGGAAGTCAGAAGGCCTATTCAAATCCTGACTGTTCCATTTACGACCTGTGTTTGGCGAACCACATTAATCCCTCTGAGCCTGGGTTTCCTCATCTGTAAAATGAGGGTTCTGCTAAACTGTCAGTAGGGTGAGCCCTACCTCAGGCGTACTCAGAGATAGTGTTTTCCAACCCAGGCTATAGAGCAGACGGTAAAATGCCTTTTTTCTATACCTGACTGCTCTGTCATCCCCAGCTCCATCCTTTGACTCTTAGGTGCTGATCGTACAAGGTCTAGAAGTGGCAAGAAGAAGAGGGCTGGGGGTTGGAGGAGCAGGATGCAGAGAAAAGGAGGAGGAGAATCTTTTTTGAAGTTTAAGGTTTTCAAGAAGTAAGGACTTTTGATAATCAAAGATTTGTAACAGGAACAATTTGCCATTGACCAGTAAATATGTGCTTTGGACAATGATGTATAAGAAAGTGTTTCTTTTGAAATGCTGGTCAAAAAGTAGGAGATCAGGGGCACTGGGGGAGGGGACTGTGCCCTGCATTGCCGTGGAAAGAGTTCTGGATTGAGAGTCAAAATATCAAAATTCAAATTTCAGCTCTGCCACTTACCACCTTTTTTGACCTTGGACAAGTCACTTCTCTCCTCAAGGACTCAGTTTCCTCATCTGTAAAATGAAAAAGTTGAGTTAGATGACCTAGAGTTGGGCTATGTGACCTCAAAACTCCATAATCTATGATCCTCTAAATCCTATCCTTAAAGCCTCAGACCAGACTTTCTAGCTTCAGACTTTCTGTTCCTTTAAAGGGCAAATCAAGGAATACTTCAAACTGTTATCAGTCATTGAGACATCAGTATGAAGGATTTATCATATCATTCTCTAACTTCTGGTTTCTCTGTTATTTTCTTTGTATCTCCCATTCCCTTCCACCTCCTCCCCAATTTCCAAACTTTTATCTAGATCCAGATTATAGGGGCACTGTCTGTGATGTGGCTCCTGGCTATAGTTTTCATGCACTTCCTAAGGCCCATCATTCTCCCTCCAGTCCTGAATTTGGGGGTAGAAAAGGAAGAAGTTCTGATCTACGGACCATGGGGCAGTGAGAGGAGGCTCACTGAGGAGGGCCAGCCAAATGGGGGAGAGCTGGAGAAGGAAGAGGTAGAAGAGGACATCTGGAGCTACAATGATTCATGCAAGTAGGTGCTAATAGCAGACATTTATATAATAATTTAATGTTTACAAAGCCCTTTACTAACATTGACTCATTTGTTCCTCACAACCACCCTATGAATTATTTACTTAACATTATTATACCCATTGTAAAGGCACTGGGAAGTTAAAGCACTTGCCCATGGTCATAAAACTATTAAGTATCAGAAGCAGAATTTGAATCCAGATCTCTTCTGATTCTAAGCCCAGCATTTTTTTCCATTATGTCACTGTGCTACCCAAGGAATCTCAACAGGAAGGCAAACATTTGGGTTCGGTGACTTCCCCTAATCACCACAAAGGAAACTAGGGAATGGGACAGATTCCTGGTTTGATATGGGAGGAGTTGGGAAGGTCCATGTCTATACCTCTTGGCCCCAAACACCTGCCCTCCCCCCATCTTCCTCAGTACCTGAAATCCCACTTTTGACCCCCTTGGAGTCTGTCCCCCCTGGCAATCATCCCAGAATCTGGGTGCCTCATGGGATCTTGGCAGTTTCAAATCCTCAAAGGCTCATGGGATTTAGAATTATACAGTACTTTAAAGTTCATCATTTCCTACATTTTCAGACTTGTCCAATGTCACAGAGATGGAAGACAGCAGAGCTGAGACTGGAACCCAGATCCTCAGATTCCACATCTATTCCTTTTTCCACTTTACCATGACGTCTCCCTGACTGGACTCTTCCATTTTGGAACAGCTCTAATTATTAGGATGTCTTTTTTTACATAAAATTAAAATTGACTTCCTTGTAACTTTCCCTTAGTTTTGCCCAAGTAGAAGTCTAATTTCATTTTCTCCATGATGGACCTTCAAATACTTAAAGATAATGACCATGCCTCCCCCTAAGTCTTCTCTTGCCCAGGGTAGACACCCACAGTTTCTTCAATCATGATTGCAATCTCTAGTCTTCTCCCTACATCCTCCTACGGTGGGCAACTTGTCAACGTCTCTTCTAAAATTCTGTCCACTTAATTGCATACAATACTCTAGATGGTGTCTGATCAAGGAGGAAGAAGTAGTCCTGTCATCTCCCTCATTCTGGACACTGTGGCTTTCATGTCACCCTAGTGATTCTGGGTTTGGGAGAGAATAGAGATGAAGCTCCATAGTCCTACTGAGATACTCCTGTATGTCCTGGAATAAAACCTGAGGATATAGGGCCAAGGGTTTAATTTAACCTAGGCTATTCCCGTTGCAGGTTTGTCCTTGTGGAGAGCATTCCTCAGGACCTGCCCTACATATCTGCCCGCTCAGCAGCCCAGCCCCTTATCCAGTCCTGGATGGAGCTTCTGGATTCTGCTCAGGACAGCATCCACATTGCTTCTTACTACTGGTCTCTCACAGGGACTGACATTGGCGTCAACGATCCTTCTTCCCAACCGGTAGGTGCACCAGGCAGACTAAGTGGGCCACAAATTAGAAAGAACACCCTGGATGTTACCTTTGGCGTCCTTCCCTTGAACTCACTTCCTAAATCCAGAAAAAGGAAAGGTTGGCTGGGAGGGGAGGTTGTGGAATTAAAATAATAGTTGTCATTTATGCAGCCCTGTAACATTGGCAAAGCACCTTTGCTTACATTGTCTCATTTCTCCCTTACCTATGAGGTAGATACAGACATTTTTAGTCCAATTTATATAGGGGAGGAAAATGAGGGTTAACAGGATTATGTGACTGGTCACACAGCTAGCAAATATCAGGGGTGAATGGGAACCCAGCCCTTCCCCATTCTGAAACTTTTGTTGCTTGTCAAGGGATCTGAGGCTGGGTAGCATTTTAATAAGGGAAGAAGAAAGTAGAAGGCATTTTGAGCTCTAATCTTGGGTGGTCTAAGGCTGCCTGGCTGGCTTGCCTCTACTGAGCTGTCCTAGATTGGTAAGTAAGTCACTACTCCCTCCTGCTTACACTTGGGCTCTGCTTTGCAGGGGGAAGAATTGTTGGGGAAGCTGGAGACTCTGCTGGCCCAGAACGTCTCTCTGACCATTGCAACAAGTGACCCAACACTGGCTGTGAACTCTACTGACCTGGAGGTCCTCATGGGCAAAGGTAGAGGCCCCAGGGGCCTTCCTTAGCCCCTGGCAATCTCACTGAGCTAGAGTCAAGACCTCCTCCTGCTGCATTCAGGGGACTCAGGAAATGCCACCTCCTCCAAGAAGCCTGTCATGATATATGAGGAAGAGATTAGAGAGGGGAAAAGACCAGGTTCTATGAACTGTACCCCACTGAGCACAAAACCCCACTGGGAGACTTGAATTCCATTTCTCAGCCTCTGTTTTACAACGTTCTATGTTGTCATACTCTTGAAATGGAATATCATAGCAGGTTGCAGAGCTGACCCTAACCATAGGCAAGGCATCCCATACATTGGGCCCATGCATGGATAAGAAGGGTGTGAGTAAGATTCCTGGTTTAAAGATCCCTTTTCCACTGATGTGGATCATGGTATCTGGAATTTCACTATTAGGATATTCTCTTTTTTGATCTGGAAGGGCTTTTTGGTCCTCCAATACCCTGTTAAAAGATGGCTGCCTCAAGATGGGGTGGGTACCTTAAAGTGTTATATATCAGCTCACCTATGGCAGGAGTTGGTGGCTACTTGATAGAGCATCATGGTTGAGAGAGAATGAGGATGGCAGCCAGAACAACTTTATCTGAGCCCAGGCTTTGCCATTAATTGACTGGGTGACTCTGGAGTAGTCCTGTCTCTGCTCTGAGTTTTCCCAAATGTAAAACAAGTGGGCTAGACTCAATAGTCTCTAAAGTTCCTTCCCAACACATTGGATCTGGTATGACTTTTTGCATTTTTACAAGGCACCATGTAGTCTGTGACAGGGTCAAGAACCCTATCAGAATTCTGGAAGGGACATAAGCATTTTCTTACATTTCTATGAGCCTGGTTTTTGTCAGCCTTGGGCTTTATTGTAAACAAAAGCAGCTGCTACTTCAGATGCCATTTCTTGTCCTCATCTCTCATCTCTCCTTCTGCAGACTAAGTCAAAACTCCCACCATAACCAAAGTTCAGTCCACCTGCTCAGAGCCTGCAACACTCCCAGTCTTTCTCAGGATAAAGAGAGAAGGCTGTTTCTCTGGACCACAATTCCCAAATTTATTCAGATTTGGATTTAAATTCAGGTTTCAGATATATTTATTCCTACCTTCAGGAAAATCAATATAAATGCTTCTGAATACTCGGTTACATTAGTATTTCAGGTGTGCCTCCATATTAAGGGAGGGATTGGAGTGTGTCGGGGGATCCTCATCCATGCCCCCTACATTGTCTAATAGGAGCACAAGTGAGAAAGGTTCCAATGAAGCACTTGACTCATGGTGTCCTGCACTCCAAGTTCTGGATTATAGACATGAAGCACATGTACCTGGGCAGTGCCAACATGGACTGGCGGTCCCTGACTCAGGTGACTTATCTACTGCAAACTACATTAGGAGTCAGAGGGAAAAGAGGAGAGAAGGGGGAGCTGGGGCTGGGGTGGGGCCTTCCTCATACCCTATGTAGATGGGGCATATCTAGGTGTGATCCTGGAAAGTTTTTATGTGATTTAGATTTGTGGAAGGGGAGTGATTTGCCTAAGGTTTTATATATACATACATACATACATACATATATATAATACATATATGTGGTCATATATGTGTTTTATATATATAATAAATGACATATCCAAGACTCTGTTCCAGGTCTTCTGACTCCAAATCCACAAAATTGCTGCCAATATTTTGCCAATTGAATCTGATTTTAAATGAGGTGGCAAACTTACTCTTTCAAGAAATCCCGCAATGAGAGGCAGTTTAATAGAGTGGACACCATCGTCATCCTCATCAAATGCTGGACTTGTCGTTAGAAGACCCAAGTTCAGATGATACTGCTTCTGTATCCGTCAGAGGGCTGCCCCTCTGAGCTTCTTCTATAAAATGGGAAAAATAATCTTTGCCCTACCTACATGGGCTGCTAGGTGGCGCAGTGAATAGAGTGCTCGGCCTGCAGTCAGGAAGACCTGAGTTCAAATGTGTCCTCAGACTCTTCCTAGCTGTGTGACTCTAGGCACGTCACTTAATCCTGTTTGCCTTAGTTTCCTCATCTGTAAAATGAGCTGGAAAGAGGAAATGGCAAATCCCTCCAGTATCTCTGCCAAGAAAACCCAAAATGGGGTCATGAAGAGTCAGACACAACTGAATAGCAAAGACAAATAAATAGGAATATCATGAGGAAAGCATTTTGTGAGCCTTAAACTAAATTGAAAATAATTCTTTTGTCAAGTGAGGGACCCAGAATCCTCATATGTGGGATTATGCCTTGCTGCATTCATCCTGTGAGCCCAGATCCTTCCCCAGACTAGCTGCCCACAGTAATCCCTTATTCTGGGACAGAAAGAGAATCTTAGCTTAGCTAAGATTAGCTAAGACTCAGGCACTAAGTTTTCTAAGCACTCTGGAAGAGAGAGGCAAGGTCATCACGGGACAGGGGATTCTTAAAAAGGCCTCCCCTGGGGAGGTGGGATTGCAGCTGGGCCTTGAAGGCTTGGTAGGGTTTCTGCACAGGACCAGATATTATCCTGGACCAGAAGCGCCAGATTCTTTGGATGCACCCGCTTTCTCTTTCTTTCTTTCTCTGTGTGTGTGTGTGTGTGTGTGTGTGTGTTTATATATATATATATATATATATATATATACATATATATACATATATATCTTGGATTTCTACAGGTGAAGGAACTTGGAGTCGTCATCTACAACTGCAGCTCCCTCGCATATGACCTTGAGAAGACATTCCAGACATATTGGGCCCTGGGGGTCCCCGGGGCCACCATCCCTAAACACTGGCCCCAGAACTACTCCACAAACATCAACTGGCGTCATCCCCTACAGGAAACGCTTGATGGGATGGTCACTACTGCCTATTTCTCTGTAAGTGGGAATCTGCAGGACTCAGTTGGAAGAAGATGATTTCCTCTTAGGTGTTTGCCTTCTCTGTTTGCTATCTGACTGCCCTGCACAAGGCCCAGCTGAGCAAGTATGGCAGGCAGAGCCTTGGGCTGGCACGTCAACGATCATAGCACCAACTACTGGGAGGAAAGGCCTCACCTGTCCTCTAGTCAAACCCCCTCACTTTTCAGAGAAGAAATCTGAAGGCCAGAGAGATTGAGCCACAGACTCTCAAAGTTGAAAGGAATACTAAAGGCTATATGGGGCAACCCCAATCTGACTGAGAATCTCCTTTCTAGCATTTCCAGTAAGTGACCATCCAGCCTTGGGTTTGACCTTGGAGGTTAACGGTGAGGGGAATCCACTAACTCTCAAGGCAGTTTGTGTAGTGTGTGTGTGTGTGTGTGTGTGTGTGTGTGTGTGTGTGTGTGTGCATGCGTGCATGCGCAGATAGTGTTATAGATATCTATCTCAGGAAGTAAATACATCTATATATATTTTTATATATAGATTATATATAAATATATAACAGGAAGTAAATAATATATAATAATAAACATGTTTACATATGTAAATATATTTATTATAAACAGGATTATATATAGTAAATAGTATATATATATATATATATATATATATATATATATACAGACACACACACACATATGTATGTGTGTGTGTGTGTGTGTGTGTGTGTGTGTGTGTGTGTTCCAGGCATGGGAGACAGCCAGAGAAAATACCAAGGGATTACCAAGCCAAGGGATGGAGTGTCTTGTGATATAGACATGTACCACAAAACAATCATGACCAATAATAGATATTTTACGTGATTCCACTATTGGACAGATCCAATAATTAGTCAGTCAACAATCACTTATTCAGTGCTTACTATGTACGAGGCACTGTGTGCTTATTAGAAATTTTTCTTCATATCAAGCTTCTCTCTTTGCTTCACTGCAATTCTATAGTCATTGATCCTACTCTAATCCCTGGAGCCACAATGAACAAGCCTACTTCCTCCTCCATCTGACATCTTTGAAGATGACTATCTTACCCCTGTGATGTCTTCTTTTCTCCAGACTAAACACCCCAGCTCCTTCAGCCAAACCTTATGATGCATTCTCTGGAGATCTACCACCATCTTGGTCACCTCCCCCTGGATACTTGCCGTTTTATGAATATCTTTCTTAAAATGTGACATCCAGAACTGAATATGACCACACAATGTGGTTTGACCAGGGCAAGGTAGAGAAAGACTATCCCCTTCCTAATCCTGGGCACTGAGCCTGTCTTAATGCCACGTAAGATCTCATTAGCTTCTTGGGGTCACCCTTGACTCACATTTGAGCTTGAAGACTGCTCCAACTTACTCATGAGGCTGATTTTCTGAATCCAAGTTTATATTACTTTACATTGAAAATCTTAAAGTACTATATAAATACGAACTATTAAAACTATGATTTCTATTAAATTTCACCCAATTCAATTTGTCCCAATTGAGATTTTAGACTCTATCACCCAGAGTGTTAGCTTTGCATCTTAGCTATGTGTCATCTAGATATCTGATGAGCACACCATCTGTGCTTTTATTCAAGTCACTGTCAAAATTGCTAAACAGGTCAAGACCAAGCACAGATCCCTGGGACACTCCACTAAGACATCAGCTTCTGATGTGGCATTGATCCATTAATGACAACTCTTTGGGTTTGGCCAAGCAGTGAAGTGGCCTTCTCAAATTTCCATTGGGTGTGAAAGGCAGAACTAGGATGTTCACCAAGGTCTTCTGATTACAAATTCTGTGCCCTTCCTGCTAGATCAGAATAATCCAGTCCCTGTCCTTATGTCTTTATGGCTCCCACTCTAATCATGGAGCTTACGCAAATCCATGGAGGATTTGTGTATGAGCCCCAGACAAAGGCTATGAGGTTAAGAAGAGGGATAGAAGCCACTTCTTTCTGAGGGATCAGAGAAGGCTCACTGGAAAGGCAACATTGGAGTTTGGCCTTTAAGGGGAAGATTTGTATAGGCAGCAATGGAAAAGGAAATGGACAGCTTTCAAGGAATGAAAAACTATGTAAGGAATGGTGAGAAATCAGAAAAGTGAAAAGCATCTATGGGCAATTGTGTCTTCCAGTTTGTCTGACAAGTAATGTAGATGAGGAAGAGCTGTAGAATATTGGTCTGGAAGGCAATTTAGAAAGGGTCAGTTGAAACCATATCATGGAAGGTCTTGACCTTTGGCAATCTGCTTACCTACCAGCTTTGGTCCTCAGGTGCCCCATATGTAAAACAGGGATTGGGTAGGCATTGGATTAAATAATCTCCAAGGATTTGCTCTAAATCTCTTGATCCTTTTTGATCTAAATCTTTTGATAGCCTTAGGAAGCCATGGAAGGTTTCCACGGAAGGGAGAAGTATGATAAGACGTGGGATTAATCTGAGAACCTGTGCAACATGGAACCTTTCAGTTGTAGGACTCTGAGACTGACCAGCCACCACCTCAGGATATCACAGATGCCCTCCTCTGTCCACACACTCAAGGCTATCCCCTTTCATTAGTGCCAGGCTGTTATTAAGAATTCTATGACTAGAACAAGAATTCTTAATCTAGGGGTCTTTGAATTTGGATAAGGGGAACTCTATCTTACATCTTTATTTCATCTTTATATCACATCTTTATTATCTTTATACTTAGCCTCATTTGTTATTCTGTCTTTTTACACATTTTAAAGTATTATTCTGGGTAGGGGTGCATGGGCTTCACCAAACTGCCACAGGAGTTCTGCACACAATAAAAGTTAAGCATCCCTATACTACAGACTTTTGGGACTTGAACATTTCATTGGGTTCCAGGAGGGCAGGAGGCTCTCATTCACACCTTCTCTCTGCTATTCAGGCCTCACCACCTACATTCTGCCCCAGAGGCCGGACCAAGGACCTAGAAGCTCTGCTAAGTGTGATTCGGGGTGCTGAGGATTTCCTCTATGCTTCAGTAATGGAATATTTCCCCACCAGCCGTTTCGAACACCCAATCAGGTATGGATGGTCACCTTTCAGGGTTACCTTAACTGAAGGGGTGAGGAGGCTGAAGCTCACAGCCTCGGAGAGAGAGAGATGCCGCTCTACACCAGGACTGACCTCAGGGGGATTATTGTTTGCATGAAGAACGAGGAGGACAAAGACAGGTTTTGCCTTTGAGGAGCTCACGGTCTGGCTGGTAGGATCAGACTCGACCATCTAAAGTCAGTAATATGAGGCACCGGGCGCTAAAGTACACAGAACACTTTAAGTAAATCACGTTACTTGATCCTCATAGCAAGCTGGGAAAATAGGTGCTGTTATTACACCCTTATTACAAATGGGAAAATTGAGTAACTTGCCAAGAGTCACACAACTAGGAAGTGTCTGAGGCAGAATCTGACCCCAAGACTGGCCCTCTATGCTATGTCACTTAGCTACCCTAACTTGCAGGATGAAGTCAGAAACAGGAGCGCTTAGTGTGGGGTGAGGAGATCAAGGCAGGCTTCCTGGAGGAGGCAGGATTAGAACTCAGCCTAGAAGGACAGGTGGGATTCATATAGGTGGGATAAAGTAGACGATATCACAGGGACTTGGAATGGTAGAAACAGAGGAAAGGAGGCAGAAAAGTATAAGGAGTATTTGGGTGATAGTGAAACCTTCCTGACTGTAGTTTAGGATTTGTTGTTATTTAGTCATTTCAGACTCTTTGTGACCTCCAGTATCTTGGCAAAGATACTGGAATGGATTGCCATTTCCTTCTCCGGTTCATTTTACTGATAAGGAAACTGAGGCAAACAGGGTTAAGTGACTTGCCTAGGGTCATCTAGTAAGTGCCTTTGGCCAGATTTGAACTCAAGAAGATGAGTCTTCCTGTCTCCATGCCTAGCAGTCACCACTCTGGAGTCACCTAGCTCCCCACGGTTTAGGGCACATGAGTGCTAAGGTTGGAAAGGATGTTTAGTATTAGAGGTGGAATGCCTTGCCAAGCTGAGGGATATGGACTTAGCTCTGTAGGGTTCTTGAATAAAGGAGTGCATGGATAGAAATAATGCTTTCTTGATTTTGTCTGGTCTGAAGGATTAGGCAACACTTGCTAACACATCTCCCAGCCTATTGGAGAGCACTAATCACCATCAGCCTCTTCCCTATTAACTTCAGCAGCAGTCCCACACACCTGCTTCATACCTCTAAGCCTCATTTACAAAATGAGCGATTTGGACCAGATGACCTCTACAGTCCTTTCTGGAACCATCCATCCTATAAAGAAAGAAACTGTGGATACTGAACACTCAGCCTCACCTTCCTTCAACCATATGTTCAAGGGGATCCACATGTCATTGGAATGGTTTTCCTTAAAGGGCCTCCTACAGCTTATAAAACTCCTAGTGGGGATAACCAGCAAGTCACCATCCACAGCCTCTATCCTAAAACCCCAAAGCCCAAAGAGCAGAGCTTCTGCTGTGCTGGAATTGCTTCCCGTGGTCCCCAGCAAAGGCTTCTACCCCAGCAGGCTGAGTAGGGTAAGATCAGGGTGGTTATATACCACTAAGGCTTGGCTATTCTGAGCAGGGGGCATATTTAGACTGAAGGGGTCATTGGCCCATAGTTGGAAGGGACTTTGAAGACCATCTAATCCGATGTCCTCATTTTATAGATGAAGAAACTGAGGCCCAAAGTAACAGAGGCAGTATTTGAACTCAGGTCTTCTGATTCTGAAACCAGTGCTCTTTGCACTGGGTTATATTATCCCAGATTCTGTCCTTAATAACTCAACAAATTTTTATCAGGCACTTATTATGTGTAAGGTCTGTTGTTGTGTTCAGAGGATTCAATGATGAAAAATGATCGTACCTGCGAGCCTTATAAGAGCTTACAATCTACCAGAGGTAATAAACCATATACACAGATAACTAAAACATGGAAGAATGTGATACAACCCAGGAAAACTGCTGTGAGGAATTTGGACAGGGAAAGATTTTTTTTTACCTGCATATGTGGATGAGAGCATCTTGTGTCAGACAAGGTTTTTTGAAGGAGACAGTCCCTAAACTGGACTCTGAACAAATGAGGGACTCGTCAATAGAGAAAGATGAGGAATGAGAGAGTCCATTCTTGTCTGAGAACCTGTGTGAGGAAAGACATGGAGACAAGAGGGAGAAGGATGAGAATGAAGGATGGTGCTTCAGAGGACCTGTTGCATAAAGTATATGGGGGCAGCTAGGTGGCGCAAGTGGCTAGAGTGCCAAGCCTGGAATCAGGAAGACTCATCTTCCTGAGTTCAAATCTGACCTCAGACACTTACTAGCTGGGTGACCCTGGGCAAGTCACTTCACCCTGTTTGCCTCAGTTTCCTTATCTGTAAAATGAGCCAGAAAAGGAAACGGCAAACCACTCCAGTATCTTTGCCAAGAAACCCTCAAAATGGAGTCACAAAGAGTTGGATATGACTGAAACAGCTGGACAACAACAGTAACAACAAAGTATGTGAAAGAGAGTATCGTGAGATAAGACCTAGAAAGGCGGGTTGAGGCTAGACTGAACACCAGTATCAGGATTTATACTTTATTTGGTAGGAAGCGGGGAGCCACTGAAGGTTTACGAGTAGAAGAATGAGTGGGTTCTAGTGGTGTGTTAGGAAGGTGGCTGAGTTAGTGTGGGCAGGAGGGATTGGGGAGAGCAGAAGGAGGAAACCAGGGGTTCAGCTAAGAGGATATTACAATCCTTGATGTGAGAGGTGATGAAGCCTCAAACTAGGAGAGTCTGGGACCAAAGAAAAGGGAGTGAGTGTGAGAGATGCTGCAGAACAGGGATTTCTCCTCTTCTCCTCCAGGTACTGGCCAGTCATTGACAATGCTCTGAGGGAGGCAGCCTTTAACCGGCACGTGCTAATCCACCTTCTCATCAGCTGCGGAAAGAACTCGGACCCGTCCATGTTCCCATACCTGAGGTCACTACAGGCTCTCACTAACCCCCAGACCAACATTACCATAGAAGTGGTGAGTGAGGAATTGCTCCTTGGAGTCTCGTATTGACTGGTGGAGTCCTAGGTTTGGGAAGATCCTTATGGACTAACTAGTCCAATCCCCTCCTTTTACACAGCGGGGGAAACTGAGGCCTACCTCCCACTGACTCTCTGCCCTCTGAGACCATCTGGGTACAGAGGCAGTGTACCAGAGGGGAAACTTTGGTAGAGCCTGAACTGTATTTGCCTGATACTTACTAGTGACATGAGTGTAGCAAAAAAGCTTCATCTCTCTGGGGTTCACTTCTTTTATTTGGAAACCAGGGATAATCCGTGTTAGACGACTCACTTCGCTGGGTTTTTGCAAGGAAAGTGGTTTGTAAACTTCAAGGTGGACTAGAAATGTAAATTAAATCATATGCTTAGGGAGCTTAGATCACATCTTCGAGCCTAAGAGCTTCATAATAAATCATGTGCATGGTCTCCCACTCAACTCTTTTTTTTCTTTTTTGGTTTTTTTGTGAGGCGATCAGGGTTAAGTGGCTTGCCCAGGGTCACACAGCTAGTAAGTGTCAAGTGTCTGGGGCCGGATTTGAACTCAGGTCCTCCTGGCTCCAAGGCCAGAGCTCTATCCACTGTGCCACCTAGCTGCCCCCTCCTACTCAATTCTTGAGGAGATAACAAGTTTAGCTAAGCTGTGGGTCTTGTCCTCACAGGCTTACAGTATGACAGAAGCATAAAGCACTTAATATGTATATCTCTAATATTAAAACATTAAATTATAAACAATAATATTGATAAAATTTAATAAAATTGGATAATAGTGGATAGAGTACTAGGCTTGCAATCAGGAAGACCTGAATTCAGATCTGGTCTCAGACATTTACTAGCTGTGTGACCCTGGGCAAGTCATTTAACCTCTGTTTGCCTCAGTTTCCTCATCTATAAAATAGGGATCATAATAGCAACTACCTCCCAGGGAAGTTGTAATTTTTTAATTTTTTTTTTATTTTTAGGCAATTGGGGTTAAGTGACTTGCCCAGGGTCACACAGCTAGTAAGTGTCAAGGGTTTGGTCTGAGGCCGGATTTGAACTCAGGTTCTCCTGACTTCAGGGCCAGCGTTCTATCCACTGCGCCACCTAGCTGCCTCCTCCCAGGGAAGTTGTAAAGATGCAATAAGATGATATTTGTAAAGCACTTAACACAGTGCCTGACACATAGTATGCACTATATAAATATTAGCTAGTAGTAGTAATAACAGTAATGGCGGCAGCAGCAGCAGTAATAGTAGTAGTAGTAGTAATAGTAGCAGCAGTAGTGGTTGTAGTAGTAATGGTGGTGGTGGCAGTGGTGGTACTAGTAGTGGTGGTGGTGTTAGCAGTACTAATAGTAGTCATAGTAGTAGTGATGGTAATAATAGGAACAGTAATAGTACTGGTGGCAGTGGTGCTAGTGGTAGTGGTAATAGTAGTAGTGGTATCAGCAGTAACAGTAATAGTAGTAGTGGTGGTGGTGGTAGTAGTGGTGGCAGTAATCGTGGTTGTAGTAGTAGTGGTAGTGGTAGTGGCAGTGGCAGTACTAGTGGTGGTGGTGGTGGTGGTGGCAGTGGTGTTAGTGGTAGTAGTAACAGTTATAGTAGTGGTGGTAGTAGTGATGGTGGTAGTAGTAGTGGTGGTGATGGCGGTAGTAGTAAAATGTTATGATTAGCACACCTGTGTGGTGCTTCTCCTCCTGTTCTCATTCAGTCTTCACAACAGTCCAGGGAGGGAGTCAAGACAAATATGGTTATATCCATTTTACATAGGGAAACTGAGGCCCAAAGAAGGGAAATGAACTCTCCCATAGCTAGGAAGTGGTGGATCTGGGATTCAAATACCAGGTCTCCTTACTCTAAGAACATAATCTTTTCATAATCTCATGATGCTACCAAGAACCAGGAAGCTAGAAGGTGGGTTGGGAGGTGTTTTAAAGAAACTAGCTAGGGGGCAACTGGGTGGCACAGTGAATAGAGCTCTGGCCTTGGAATAAGGAGAACCTGAGTTCAAATCCAGCCACAGACACTTGACACTTACTAGCTGTGTGACCCTGGGCGAGTCACTTAACCCCGATTGCCTCACCAAAAATAAAAAAATTAAAAAATAAAAAAGAAGCTAGCTGCTAGCATCTTCCATTTCAGGTTGCTGCAGTTGCTTCAGAATATAAATCCCAGCTTTGCCACTTACTAGGTGTCAGCCTTCAGGCAAATCACCCAATCTCTCTGGGCCTCAGTATCCTCCTCTGCACAATGAGGGAGCTGGACTCGATGATTGCTATGACCCCTTCGGGTCCTAAGTCTGTGATCCTATGATTGCCATGAGTAGGGCCCTTGCACCTGAGTCTACTCCCTAGCTCTGTGACAGCCTATTTATCTCTGTTTCCTTAAAGAAAATATTCATCATCCCTGTGGGAAATCACTCCAACATCCCTTACAGCAGAGTGAGCCACAGCAAGTATGCAGTCACAGAGAAGAAGGCTTACCTGGGTAAGAGCTCTCCAGCGGGGGGAGGGCAGTGAAGGAGGAAGGCATGGAGGCTTGGTGGGGTCTGGGCCACCTGCCCAGCATGGGCTTATTTGGATGGCCCTGCGATCACATGGAGGGACAAAGCTGCTCAGAACCATGAGAATATCACCCCAACCAGAGACACTCTGAAATGCCCAGGCCTGGCTCACTGTCCTTGGGATATCCCGCAGCTGGAAGGGACCTCAGTAGCATCTAGTTCCCCCAATTCCAATCCAGAATCCTGACCCTCATGGGAATTCCCTCTACACCCTCCCAGACAGGGGAACATATGGCAGGAGACTCCCTGTTTACCCATTCCATTTTCAGAGAGATGATAATTTGGATGTTTTTCTTCATATTGTGTTGAAATTGATGTCTCTGCCCACTTCCTCAGTCAGCTACCGTGCTGTTCCTAAGTCTCCCCTTATCCAGGCTAAACATCTCCAATTCCTTCAACCAGTCTTCCAATGTCAGAGGCACAAGTAGGGATTCTGAAACCTGCGGCAAATCTGGTTGAGCTGAGGGGAAAGGGAAGAAGGAGGTACGGTCCCTCTGTGACTGGCCGAGGCAGACTGGAGAGAGATGAGAGGGAGGAGAGTGACCTGGAGGGCCATTGAGGAGGGCAACGAAGATCTGGAGAAGATGAAATGAACTTTAAAGGAGAATGGCAGAAGAGAAACAGCCGAAGAAAGAGGATCTGAAATCGGCAGTGGGGGGAGCAAGGAGGAAACTGGGTTTGAACCCTAGACCCAGTACTTATTAGACCCTAGCTAACTAGCTGTGTGTCCCCAGGCAAGTCATTTCACCTCTCTGGGCCTCAACTGCCTCATCTAGAAAATAATAAAATTCCTACTTGATTCTTGGGATTATTATGAGGAAGGCACTTGGCAAGCCATAACATGCTAGAGAAATGGGAGTTCAAAACATCATGGATCTAGGGCTGAAAGTCCAACCCTTTCATTTTATAGAAAAGGAAACTGAGGCCCAAGGAGTTTAGGTGAGATTATATGGGTAGTAAGGATCAGAGGTAGGATTTGAACCCAAGTCCTTTGACTCCAGAGTCAGTGTTCATGCTGTTCTGCCATGTTGCTTTGTTATTGTGGTCACAGGGATCACAAGGATGAAAACAACGTCCCATTTCTATGGCCTTTTAAAGTTCACAAAGCATGTTCCTCAAAACAATCCTGTGAAGTAGGTGATAGAAAAGTCACCATCCCCATTTTACAGAAAACTGAGGCATAAGAGAGGGGGAATGATTCGTTCATGATCCCACAGCTATTAAGTTTCAGAAATAGGACTGGAATCGGTTTAATGCCTAGGAGGCAGCTAGGCAAATCAGAAAGACCTCAGTTCAAATCCTGTCCGAGATACTTCCTGGCTGTGTGACCCTGGGCAAGGAGCTTAATTAACCTTTGTCTGCTTCAGTTTCCTCCTGGGGATAATAAAAGTACCTGCTTCACAGGGTTGTGAGACCATATGTGTAAAGCACTTTGCACAGCGCCTGGCACGTGGTAGGCACTTCATAAATGCTTGTTTCCTTCCTCCTTTGGAAGCCAGTACTCTTTCCACCATACCACCCTACCATGCCCAACTTCAACTGTGCTGGGGAAGGAAAAAACCCAAACAAACCTGGAGGGAAAGCAGCTTCCTTTTGTATGGAATGAAGGAATTGGCCCAGATAACCCTCAGGTCCCTTTCAGCTTGGACGTTCTCTGGTCTCTTTCATCCTCAGAACCCCAGTGCCCTTCTGGACACGAGCACCAAAGACGTCAGCTGGGCCCAGGACGCCTCCATGGCTCTCACTCCTCAGCACCTCCCATCCTCCACTGGGAATTTCCACGCTCAGTGGAAAGGCTGAATGCCTCTTGTGTTCTAGAGGGCCAGCATACCAATCAATCACCAAACATTTAGCACACTGCACTGTTTATTGTTTGACATCATTTCATTCAATTTAATGCTTGTTAAGGGCCAGCCGTGTGCAAGAGGGCAAAAAGGATGCAAAAATGAAAAAGAACATGGTCCCTGTCCTCAAGGAGCTTACATTCAAATGGAAGGAAAGGATATGACATAATAACAATAGCTAACATCTATATGGGGCTTACTGTGCTGAGCACTTTACATTATCATTATCTCATCCGATCTTCACAACAACCCTGGGAGAAAGGCGCGATTATGATCCCCATTTTACAGATGGGGAAACTGAGGCAAGTAGCCATTAAGTGACTCAGGGTCACTCATCACTAGTACATACTTGATGTTAGATTTTAACTCAGGTCTTCCTGACTCCAGGCCCAGTGCTCTATCCACTGCCCCACCTGTTTGTCGTGGAGCTGGCGGCTAAGTCTCCATGATTTAGGGTTTTCTTCTCCAGATCATTTTACAGATGGGAAACTGAGCTGAACAGGAGTAAGTGACTTGCCTAGGGTCACACAGCTAGTACACGTCTGAGGCCACACAGGTCCTCCTGACTCCAGGGCTGGTGCTCTATCCATTGTGCCACCTGGCTGCCACAGATAAGTATGGTACAAGCTAGAATATGACAGGAGGAAAGGGGTGATCCAAGCAATATGCTTTAGGAAGATTTAAGGAGAAAGAAATCCCTTTTAGCTGGGGCAGGGAGGTCAGAGAAGGCTTCATGGAAGGAGTGGACCCTGAACTGGGTCTTCAAGGAAAAAAAAGTCAGCTGATGGAAAGGAGGAAGAGTAATGGCCTGCATGAATGCCCACAGGTGGGATATGGAAGAATGAGCTCAGTCAGAGGGTACATACTATTGTATGGCTGGCACAAAAAAAAGGCAGGGGAAGAGAGTAGAGTGAATAAGTCTGGAAATGGAGCATAGAGCTAGATCGTGAAGGGCCTTGAACATCAGCATAAGGAGCTTGTATTTTGTCCTAGAAGCAACAGAAAACCCTTGAAGATTGGGAAGTGATGGTCAGAAGTGTTCACTAGGAAGATTATTTTGGTAGCTGTGAAGGATGGATTGGAGAAGGGCCAAGACCAGGAAGAGGGAACAGTTAGGAAGCTATGAATAATAGTCCAGGCTAGACGAGGCCCAGAACTGCAGTGGTGTCCCTGCCCGTGGAGGGAAGAGGACAAATCCAAGTCATATTCTGGAGCTAGAATCAACAGGAGTCAGCATCGGAGGGGATGTGAGAGGAAGGGGAGAGAGAAGAGCCAAGGATGACTGAGGTTGCCAGGCTGGGATGGTGGTGTTCTTAGTAGAAAAGCAGGGGGCTTGGGGGGAAAGATGACAAGTTTGGTTTGGGACCTGTTGAGCTCAGGTACAATGGAATACCTGCCACGGTCACTGCTGTGCTGTACCACTGGTGGTTGAGGGACAACTGGTCACGCCTTTGAGTGCTATAAGAATAATGCTAGATTCTCTTCCTCCCACAGGAACATCCAATTGGTCAGAGGATTATTTCACCAACACAGCTGGTGTGGGGCTGGTCATCAACCAAAGTTCCTCTGATCCCCAGCACCCAGCACCCACCATTCAGGACAACCTGAAGAGTGTCTTTGAGCGGGACTGGCAGTCCCCATATGCCATCAGTCTGGACAAACTTCCCGGCCAGCAGGACTGTGCCTGGCATGCCTGAGACTGGGGTCTCCGGTCTCTCTTCTCTCTTTTCCTCTCTGCCTTCTCTTCTCTGCCTTCTCCCCTCCCTTCTCCCTTTCTAGGGCTCAGGTTTCTAATCAATAAAATGAGGGGGTTGGATTAGAGTGGTTTTTTTTTAGGCTATTGGAGTTAAGTGACTTGCCCAGGGTCACACAGCTAGTACGCGTCAAATGGTTGGTCTGAGGCCGGATTTGAACTCAGGTACTCCTGACTCAGGGCCAATGCTCTATCCACTGCGCCACCTAGCTGCCCCTAGAGTATTTTTAAGGTCCCTTCTAGCTCTGAATTTTATGATCACTCTTCCCTCTTTCCTTTCTCTCTGTCCATTCTCCTTCTCCCTGTGTATCTCTTCCTCATTTCCTTTTCTGTCATTCTCTTTCCCTTTATATCTCCTTTTCTCTTCCTTTTCTTCTTTTTTCCTTCCTCTCCCTTCCCTCACCTCCCTTCTTCCTCCATTTACCTTCTCTCTTCCCTCTCCTTCTGATGGGACAGGGCAGACCAAGAGTCTCTCCCAGCACAGCTGTGTGTTCCTAAGGCTCTTGTGTTCTGAAAAGGATTCTTCTTATGTGGGTCCAACTGCTCAGAGAAATCTGTGTTCTTTCCTCATTGCATGGAGACAGGGGCGTGTTGGTTAATGTTTAACTACCAGCTCTGGGGAGAGGGAGGTGCCCACGACACACATTTACATTTAATCTGCATTATTAATTAAATTTAAGCCACGTTTCCCCCTTCACTTCCTTAAGTCTAGACAATCAAGGAGACAATAAATCAAGCCCAGATTTGTAGCGCTTGTCGGATTTCTGAGGTATTTGTAGCTAAGCAACGGTCTGACACTGTTTAATCCTTTTAAGCCAACCAAGTCTGGAAGACAGTCCGAGAGCTTTTAAGGACAAACTAGCCTGATGTGCCTGGGAGCAGGGGTTGGGATATTGCTCCTACTGTGCAGGAATGACGCACGGAAAACTTAACAATTGGCTCTCCAGAGGTGGTCCTGGCTGCCTCCAGCCCCTGCATGGAGAACTCAAGCAATTCATTTCTTGCCTCTGACATATTAAAAAAAAAAAAGTCACCTCTTCCTCTATATCTCTGACATTCTTTAAGGTCCAGCTCCTTTAGGAAGGTAATCACAGATCTGAATCGCTCTTTACCCTAAAGCAACAACCAATTTAAAAAATTTAAAAAAAAAATAAGTACAAGAAAATACTCAGATTCTTGAAATAACAGTGGGGGAAGATCATTGGAAGCTAACATACAGGGTGTCCCAAAAGTTTCAGTGTAATTCTGAAGCTTAAGAGAAATCTCTCAAGCCCCAGATTACAGGGTACTAAAGTTTTAAACTCTTCAGTATACCCATCCACATTCCCTATAGGGCAGGGCATCAAGCTCTCTTATGGCTCAGCTAAGAATGCTGCTTCAGAGACAGCAAACCTATTCACATACACACGGATTTTGTGATCTACAGATCTAGGTGGGCCCACCCAGTGTGCTTATGTAATCAACTGACCTAACTCCAGCTAGGAAAAACAAAGACACATAAACAGGTGTAAACAATGTTCCCATCCCTCCAAAGCCAAATGATCTCATCCAATTCTCATTCTTTAGAATGGCTGATGAACTCAGATGTGGAAGGTCTGTACTGTGTCACTCTGAAACCTGTCACTTCACCATGCTGACTCAGTTTCTTCATCTGTAAGACAGGAAAAATATATTGCTTATCTCACTGAAAAAACAAGTGTTTTGGGCAGCTAGGTGATGCAGTGGGTAGAGCACTAGCCCTGGAGTCAGGGAGACCTGAGTTCAAATCTGGCCTCAGACACATAACACTCACTAGCTGTGCTACTCTGGACAAGTTTCTTAATCCCAATTGCTGCACCAAAAAAAAAAAAAACACAAGTGCTTCATAATTTCCAAGGCCTTCTGGAACTGAGAAATATTATTAGAGGCCCTCAGAATTCACAGAAGTGAATTCCTTACATGCTCAGGTGTGTTTTGATGGGAAATGGAAAGCAGAGCCAGTTTTCACTCAGGAAAATGGGTCAGCCGCCAACTACCTTCTTCCAAGAAGAGCCAGACCTGCTCAGAGTTATCCCATTCCCCTCTTTAGGGTACGACTGGACCAGGAAAAAGAGTTTTAAAACTAGTACATACTGAAGTGCAAATGGTTCAAGGCTTCCCAAAGATCTCTCCCCCGTAGGGCCTGGTCCTAGTGTCTGAAATTTCTCCTGCAGCATTTCCCTGCCGGAGGTCCAGCATTTTATTCTTTAAATTCCACTTTTCACCAGCAGAAGGTATGTGATTCCCTTACTAGCTATGGGCAAGCCAAGTCACTTCATTTGTTTGAGCTTCAGTTTCCTCATCTGTAAAATGGGTACAACTTAACTTCACAGTGTCATTGCCAGTAACTGTTATTACTAAGAAGCAGAGTGGAAATATCACTGGAGTCAAAAGATCTCTGTCAGGAGACCTGTGATTAGGGACAAAGGGGGTATTGCACGAGAAAGGTGGGGAGCAAGACTGAAGCATAAATGGACTTTCAGGAGCTAATGGCAAATAAAGGAGGGGGAGGGACTTTTGAATTGAAGACCTTTTCTTCATCCCTCTTGATCTGTTATGTAGGTCACTACCATCATCATCATCATCATCATCATCATCATCATCATCATCATGATCATGATTATCAAATGAATATTAAGACCCCACTGTATATAGGTCATGGGCAACTAGATGGCACAGTAGATGGAGTGTCAAGCCTGGAATTGGGAAGACTCATCTTCCTGAGTTCAAATCTGGTCTGACACTTACTGGCTGTGCCACCCTGGGAAAGCCACTTAACCCTGTTTGCCTCAGTTTCCTCATCTGTAAAATGAGCTGGAGAAGGAAATGGCAAACCACTCCAGGACCTTTGCCAAGAAAACTCCAAACAGGGTGACGAAGAGTTAGACACAACTGAAAACCATTGTGTTTAGGGCACTAAATGCCCATAACCTGGCAGGAAGTTCACCGAATGTTTGGGTGACTCAAACATGATCTCCATGGGCTGAAGTAAGCCTTCTACATAAGTGGTAGCTTCATTGTAGGCCAGCACAGCAGAGGCTCCGAGGGCAAACCGTGACTCTGGTACCTGTTCTGCCAGGAACACTAGACCTGAGGAGTAGGGGATATGGCACCGGGA